ATAGTAATGAAACTAATGATTGTTCTTGAGCACGAAGCTCTACATTGTAATGAAATCTGTTCTCTTATATAGACCTTCCTGCTCTGCAGAACCTACAGTTCTGTCTTGTCTGGATCCTCTGGATCCTATGGATCTAGATGTTTATTCTTCGATCCCCTAGATCCTCTAGGTCCATCACGTGACTTCCTGACCATGTGACGCGGTATATTGGATGCCGTCGTAACAATATTCTTTAAAGAAAACCTAGAAAAAGTAAGTAAATTTATCACGAGGACATAGTTACTAAGCTGGGGAAACTCTGGCTTTATAACGAGGGTTATTAGGAGATCAATAGTATAATTGACTTTAGTAATTTATATTAAGTAATCAATTAGTCTAAAGTAAACTAAAGGGAATTTTATCATTGATAATATTAAGTATAAATATTATAGTAAGAAGATATATAAAAGTTATAAGGTTATAAAGTTTAAATAAATAAGATGAATAGTTTAGCATATATTTAAATTTAATTAGAATATATAATTAGTTTTGAATTTACTTTAATACACCTATTATTTCAAACCTATTAAATGACTCAGAGTCTACCCGACACATCCCCTACTATAGAACCCTAACAAAATTCAGTTCAATCAAGCTCTTTCTTATAATTTGACTTGGATTCAACTCTCCTATAGTAGTAGTAGTAGTAAATTCATAATCGATTCGATCTATATAGCTATGCTAAGACTATGCGATGCGCCTGTATCTGTGTCTAATTGAATGAAGTAGATAGGAAAAAGATATAAAAACCTACCCCCCCTCGGTAACTCTCCTATATATTCAATCTATTCCTAAGCTAAAGTGACCAAGTCTTCCACTAATACTAGAACACTAATGTTACTATCATTCTAGAAGCTAACCTCCAAGGTTAGACTTAGAACTGAATCAGTGTGGTGTCATTTCAATCACTCTCATAGTAATTAGATATATACCTTTCAGGAATAACCCATCTTACATTATGAAGTAGATGACCATCAAACAACAAGTGTTTCCTGCTTCTCATCTCAAATTATTTCGTTGAGAAGGTAAATCTGCTTGCAATTTCTTTTGATCGTTCTCGAGTAATAAGTTCTGGAGAAGTCGAAGTGAATTGTTTAAGAGGAGTAGCTCATTTCCCAAAGAGGTCTAAGAAAGATATCCGATTTCAATCACAATGAACGTGCTCCTCTGTTGTGAAATCAGCTAGCTCAATTGGCACGTATGTGCCACTGTAAATCATCTAATGTGCAAAGTACCTTTGCATGAAGCACGTACATGATCAATAGTGTCGGATGGACCAAGTGATATCGTCTCATCGTTAATATTCTAGCAAAAACCCCAGATTTAAGATTTGATGAGTAGGGCTCTGGTGTCAAGAAACTACCCGACTTGTCAGAAATTGATTTTTCTATCAAAGACGCAGACGGTCACTAGAAATCTATCCCACTCAAACTTTCGAGATCAAGAAGAACCACCTTTCGAGCACAATTTCTAAATTCCCATGAATGGACTCCTCCCTTCGTCCAACTGAATTTAAACTCACTTGCGAATAATGACAGAGTCTTTGATTCATTTTCTAGATCTAAACAATTCTATATTCAATTTGATAAACCCTTCTCTTCTCTGAGAACCCATTCAATATATATACAGTGAAAGCGAAAAATAGGAAATATATAATACACAAATCTATAGGAATAAGATATCGGCCCTTTCTTTCCCTTCTGATCTTTCTACATTTTGATATACATCTTTTAGTATAAAATTAAGGTCGTTAAATCTCGATATAAACACAACATTCTAATTCTACCAACTATACCACAATAACATTACTACCCGGTCGAAGTAGGCGCCACGATTACCGTACTAGTCTGCGAGCCTTGTAACGTAACAACCACCGTACTTGTCGGCGCCGTCAACGTCAACGGCGCCAGACTCGACGTCGGCAACGTTGAAGATATCGCACTTGACGTCGGCACCGCACTCGAAGATGAATTTCCTGCGGCAGCCGAAGAATCCGTGGTACAAGCTCCGTCGGGACAATATCCATGATTGCACGTAAAGCTACACAAGCCTGAATAATCAGGATTGAGTCCCGATAGTGGGAATCCAGGTGTGTTTGAGATAGGGGGTGGTGGGACTGCGGTTGAGGAAAACTGGACGCAGGAGCAGGGAGAGGGACAATAGCCGAAGTTACAGGAGAAGTCACAGAGACCGAGATAATTTCCCGGTCCTGTACCTTTGACGCATGTCTGACCAATGGGGGAAGAGGCAGATGGTGCCGCAGAAGATGTACCTGTGGCGGTTGTAGACTCGGATGAGGAGCTAGAATTTGAGGGGCTAGAGGAGGTTGATGATTTAGACCCACCAAGTCCTACACCTAGACCGACGGCCAATGCGATGATTGCGATCAGTAACAATATTATCAACAACCAGAATGTCCATTTATTCACTCCGCACACTCGTTTCTTTTTAATGGTCTGTGGCGGAGGCGCATCTTCCACAGGTAATGCATTGTTATGACCTAATTTATATTCGTTTATAAGATGAAAAGCTGGAGGAGGTGATTCCGGGACTGGCGGGACGTCGTAACCAGGTTTATGAACGTTCAAGGTGCCGCCGTAGGCGGATCCAGCGGAATATGGTTGGAATTTAAGATCTCTGGCTGTGGGCGATTCTTCTGGGTCTGGGGTTTGGAGACCATCGTCGGGAACGACTTGGAGGCCTTCATGATCCTCCTGTGGACGTACAATTGGACTGCTTGGGCTGTGTGACATTTTCGCAGTTGATGGTGATATCTTCTATCTAACTTGGTAGTGACGAGAAAAAATTGGACTTGATGGACGAGGGAGCCATCATATTGATGAAAGAAGAGTTAGTGTTCCGCAAAAAGGCTAGTTTGTTGCCATCGATGTCTTCCTTTGTTCTTGCATGGTGGAATTTTATTTATTCCCTCTAGACCACCAGAAAATTTGAAGTTTAATAGAGAAGACTTCTATAACCTATACTTCGGTGATGTGAAAACTTCTTCTCGAGAACCTTGTTCTCGCCACGTGGGGCAATCCGTACAGATTGTCGCTTTGTCGTTCCAGACAACAAAGATCAGTTGGTACACATACCTAGGTATGGCACGACAACTTAGCGGGAAACTTTTCATCGTACAAAGAAAGAAATCAATCAAGGTTAGTATCTTCGGGGTAATCGAAGGACCGAAGAATTTTCGTACGTTCTAGAGAAACTCCAAAAATAGATCTTTTTATTCAATAGTTGAAGTAATTCTTCATCTATCAACTTGGCTCACTGGAGTCATTGTGTCTTGAAAATCACAGAAGTTATTATAGCAGAGCCAAGTCAAAAATGGCAAGAATCATAATCAGATCTCATGGTGCATGTCAAATGCTGACCATATTTCAAATTAAATCCAAGCTAGGTAAACTTCCATTAAATCCGCCGAAAACAAGTGGTATCATATCGGGCCCTCCAACTTTCGCCCTGAAGTTCAAACCCTCCTTACGCCGCAGCAGCAGCACTATGTCTTGCCCTTCTCTCTTTTTCAATAAGTGCTATGGCTGATAGCACAAGCGTTACTTCCCACCTCTCACCCCAGCTAAGCGCTCTCATACTATCCAACAGTCCAACCTTCGCCATCTTATCGATACTTAGACTGGCTGGATGTGTCCAAGCCGCTAACACCTCCCCATCAGAGACCCTCACAAGCTTGTACCCCTTACTTCTGCCGCCTAAACCTGCAACTGCCGCTCCAGAGCTTCTTTTCCATTGAAATGATTCCTGGCGTCCATCATCAAAAGTATAGGTGAAGTCATAGACCGGTGAAATATAGCCTGAGGAGTGTAAAGTCGATGAGGTATTGCCGATAACGAGCTCAACCTTGGAGGAAAAAGTGTGGAGCTCTGCAGTTCCCATCACTGCTGTGGGAGAGGAAAGAACAATCGAGGGCTCGCCCGACAAACCAGAATGTACAGCAATAGACATAAATGGTGTCGAGACATGGTGTTCCGCGAGACAAAGTTTCCTCATGCCATCCCTGTAAACCCCGAAAATTGATGGGAAAAGGTATGGTGTTCCGCCGATCACGAAAGAAGGCTGTGGCTGTTGTTGAAATCTATGTGCCGCAGCCGAGGAATCTGAGGTTGACGGCGCTTGGCTCTCAGGATATGAGCTAGTGAAAGATTGGCTCATTGTCTTTGACGAAGCAGAAGTATCGTATGGGGTTTTAGCGCTCATTGCGATGATGTCAAATGCCAAAAACTGTAGAATTTTGGAGTTCTCTTGATCTCAGTTGTAATTTCGCAAGAATTCTTGTAATAGGAATCCGAATAAGGTTATGGCCGATTATCATTTAATCAATATGGAGGGGTCATAAACCAAATAATATTGATTCACTGCGACCCCTTCATTCATATAGATATATAAATGCAGTATCGAAAATGGAAAACATTCAAGCCGACAGGGTTTGATAACGCTTGTAGGTCAGATCACTGTTGATCAACCCAATTTTACGTGAAGAAGTCAGCCTTGCTAACCACAAAATGAATATAGCCACCATAGGCATCACTATAAATGTACAATCCTTACCTTGAATCTTCATATTCAATCAATCATTGTGAAAGATTCTGATGCTTCTGGTGAATGCCTAAGCCAAGAACTGAACACGGATAGAAAGGAAGCAATCATCAAAGCATTTGTCAGAGATGCTTTTGACAAGTCCGAATGTCATTCAAAACCTCCAAAGGCGGTATGGGATGGCAAAACACCACACTTCATGGACCTAGCACATGATCGATGGCATCAGTCAATCATACTCTTCAGGCAACACATGCTATGAGTTTCAGCTTGATAAGTAGAAGAGGTCATTTATTAGTTGCCAAGATTATATTGGAACAGTAGGAGTGATGCCAAGAGATTGTATTCATTTTGGTATTAGGGTCCTTTCATGTCACGTGGCAAGACTTGGACGGATGTACATGCAAATATGTTACCGTGGTTTGATTTTTCAATGCTTCATTACAAGAAGATCTCACAGTCACAATAGGTAAGAACCTGTATTTTGGGTAGATGAATGGCTGAATTAAAGGGAAAAGTGACTAACAGCTGATTGATCGTGAACCAAGTTACAAGGAGTGTGAACATGTTCATAGATATCATCCCGACATGACTGATTGTGGTTGTGTGTTTAAAGAAAGTTGGCAACTTTTCTCCCCAAGTGGGAATTCCGTAAACTGACATAAGAAAGAACCTCCTCCTAATTATCCACTATTAATCATGCACGGATGACAGTGCTGCCATGCTTCCATGAGCCATTCTCATTCTCCAATGTACCAACCTCATTGACGGGGTTCAAGTTCCTGAAGAACAAGGTGATCTTGTTTTCAACTGATGTGGCGCCCAACTTTGAGCCTGGGAAGAAATTGACCAATTCTTCCTCTTTCTTTCCATCGGTACAATGAACAATCTTGTTGTTTTTTGCGACGTAGAAAAGATGAACGCTTCCGTCCTTGGTCATGGTGCAAGCAATTGGTGTTGTTGCTTGAACCTTGTCTTTCTCAACGTAGACGCCTCGGTCTAGAAAAAGGTTAGCTTCTTAACTATTAGCAAAATGGCAGGTGAGCGTCTTTACTTACTATGCCACTTGTTATCTTGGTTCTCAAACAAACGGATGCTATAGTCATGGTGCTGGAAGAACAACCTGATCTTCCCGCTCGAGATTGTGCAAGCTAAGGAGCTTCCTGGGAGCTCTTCGCCCCAATTCTCCGGGAGAATGGTCTCTGTATGCCATGGGTCCTTTGGAGTGCGTCGAATTTCAACCATGCCCATCTTGCCTTCCTTGGAACTTTGACAGAATTTAGTCGTTTTCAAAACCAAGAACTATAGATTGCAACTCACGCTGAAAAGTAGGCCCACTGTGAACCGTTTGGATTCCATCCACTACCTGAATTGAAAGCTCCACTGGTCAATCTCGAATATTGCTCTGGGCCTTTCTTGACTTCGTCTGGGATCTTGACGTCCTCCCAGATTGGATTGTCTCCCTTCATACGCTTCACTTTCTCCATCAATTTCTTGTCCTTGTTAATGTAGAGAAGATGAATCTGAAATTTGTGTCAGCAGATGAATACAAGCATCGTGGAACTAGACATACTGAGGGCTGGTTATCGAAGTTTGCGTCTTTGTCTACATAATAACATGTCATCGAAGAACCATTGTAATCTCCATCTTTGGAAATGACAGTGTCTTGAGTGGTCCAAACACTGCCACCATCTGGAGATCGCGCTTCAAGGATGTTTTCGCCCTCCTGGAAGAAGAGGTGTAGTACTTGATCAGGAGCAGAAGTGCAAGCAAGCTCTGTGGTTAGAAGGGAAGTCATTGTGTAGCTATCGAGAAAATTGTAATGAGTATGAGTGTTGGTGAGTAAGTAAGTAAATGATGATGGATATGGAAGCTTTGATCTTACTCTTCCACGGAAATTGGAGGTGTATATATAGCCAATTTTGCAGCTGTAGTAAGGCGAATGCCCTGGATTTTAGTAAAGCCAAGCACTGAGGAGGTAACATCTAGAGTCTTCAAGTCTGCTCTTCCCCCTCATTTGAATACGATCTAATTGACCCATCCGTTGCATCCACAGTGAAGATTTGTCCGTGGCTGCATAAGAGAACCGGCATTGTTATAGAACTCACGAGTGATATAGCGATTACAAGGTTGGATTCGAGTACTTGCAGTATCGCATGATCAGTTCAATCCAAAGAAATGAGGGGGAGATGGGGTCAAAGCCTTGGATCAATCGAATCTAGAGTCCCAATTGTTAAGAATGAGCAAGTTAACCCCCACTAGATAATGTATCAGGACCGAAGAATAAACAGGAATCGATGGAATGGCTGATTTCAAAAGTTTGGTCGCCAACAGCATGTCTCTTCTTTGCCGATAGTGACATTACTATGCACGGATAATCTAGAAGAGGCCGGATCAAGGTCTCTGAGAGTCTCCATTGCTGTTTTCAATCTTTATCTTCTCTTGCCCCGCAAGTCTGCGTATCTCATGGCATATTCTTCGTATATGTCCTATCTTGGCGGGAAGCAGAATAACCATGATAGCGAAATAACTGTATGATGATACTAATCTGATATAGTTTCGTTGATATCTCAATATTGCGGGGATTGTTTCCCACCTCGGAGGCGGGCTTGTAAGTCTTGGGTCTCCTACCATCAGATGGCGACAAGACAATTGATAACGGGAGTGATGAATTGACTGAGGATCTATTGGCAGAAACGACAGTTAACATGACGCACGGTCGAGGAGCAAGCTGGAGTCTCCTGCATTCTTCGATGAAAATTCCCATCGTGGATGCCGTACCACTCGCTAGAATACAACTATGGTCCGTGCTATTGAGGAGAGGTTGTCGTTGGCAATAGGCCTTCACTACCAAGACGTTGGAGGCTTGAAACACAGCAACTAGGTATTGAAGCTTGTCCATCCGAGTGGTTGGCTGGCTATGCCTTTAGATCCCCTCAAATTATGTGTAACAAATGTGCGGGTACAAACGGCCGATGCCATAACAAATGGCTTTTGAGATTTGTGAATCAATAGTCATAACGTAATGAAATTGAAAGGCAAACCAAATAGTGCAAAAGAATGGCTCATGGATATCTGCAAGTGTGGTAAAGTTTGCTTACACAACATTGAAGTGGTGAAAGAGGGGAAATGAAAGCGGAGGCTTGAACAAATTGTGATTGCAACCTCCAATCCGGATTCCAAAGTAACATGCACTTCATGTTTAGCCAACGGAGATTCTCCTCTTGATACTTCCAGCTAACTATCACCAGATATCAAGCAAAAAGAAGGTATGGGTTTCAACATACGCATCAATGGCTTTTTTTGTCGGGAAGAAAATAGCCTATGAGTCGGCCCGTGGTGATCTGTTCCGACTCCTCAAATTATGGCTGACTAAGCACCATCGAGCATAGTCGAACCTCTTGGCGAATAACAGCAACATTTCGTCTTTCCGAAGAGAGAACAGAATTGTTGCCTCTTCAATACAAGCCAGGTACGAGATGAATCTCTTTTGACTTTCAATCATATATGAAACTTTTAAAAATCGAAGACATTTAATAACTTATACATATCATACATCGGCAATCATTAGACCTCGACCGAAATTACGGCCTCGGAATAACATTGGCCCAGTTTCTAGCCGAAGATAAACCGGATTTTGTTGCACATCTACAAAATGCTCGCAAAATTGCCAATTTGGCGATCATCAATGATCCGAACGCAAAAAGGTGTAACGTGACTCGACGGATTGATATCTCGGTTTGTTCGCGTGTGACAAAGATTGATATTATCGATACATAATGGAAGCGGATGATAGGAAACCTACTCTTGTGGCTTCGACGAATGATACCTATTCCTGTTCTATATCAATATCGCATTCGCGCGAGAAGGAATTGAGGAAAAATGATGCGGCGCAAGAGGGAACAGAATGTGTGGAAGATGAAGATTTGAAGAAAGGCGAAGATCAGTGGACCAGAGATGAAGATTTGGAAGTTAATTATTTCAAAAGTGCACAATGGTATGTTTACCACTGAACCTCTTTGATGTATTCGCGATCACTAAATATGGTAGGACACCCGACGGCACAACCCTCCTGACTTCCTCCGCCGATAATCAAATCCGTACATTCATCCTCCCGCCCACGCTTCTCGACGATCCCTCTACTCCACTATCCCTCACTCCCTACACAACACACACGTTTCCTACCCCCGTGAACTGCATTGCTCCTTACCCACACTACACGCTCTCAGACCCCAGCACGACCCTCTACCTCAGCTGTCCCAATTCTCTCCCAATCCGCCTCTCAAACATTCTATCTCCAACCGCCACCCCCCAAGCAAGCTACAATCTCATCTGTCCAACTACCGAAAAATACCTCACTCCCGCATCTATTCTCTGGAGTTCTCCCGGAACCCATTTTCTAACCGGAACAGAATGTCTCATATCCCACTTCGACATATCTCGTCCCGGCTCTGGTTCTGTCACCATACTCCCCACTATCCCTTCCAAACGCCATAAAATCAAAGGAGGTGGCGTGGGAATGCGCGGTATCGTCAGTGCATTGTCGTTGCAACCATGTACTGATCCGTCCAATACGAGTATTCTCGCAGCGGGCACTTGGACAAGGTGGCTTGGTCTCTATGATGCTTCTGGATTAGGTGGAACTGTTGCTACATGGGATATTTCCGCAGCAGCTGATAGTGAGTCCGGGATTGGAGGGCAAGGGCTTAGTCAGGTGGGGTGGAGTAGCTGTGGAAGGTACTTGTGGGTTGCGGAACGGAAGAGTAGAGGTGTGCTTGTATATGATGTGAGGGTTACTGGAAAGCTGGTCACTTGGCTAGAGGGCAGGGAAGCAGAGACGAATCAAAGGATGGGAGTAGATTCTTTCGAAGGAGAGAAGGGTATGGAAATTTGGACAGGGGGTACGGATGGTGTAGTGAGGGTGTGGGAGGGAGTAGGAAGGAAGGAAGGGGGTGTTGAGTGCGATTGGGAGTGGAAGGCTCATGACGGTATGCCATTTCTAAAATCTCCCCGTTCATTATTCTTGGTGACATATCATTGCACCATGGTTCGTGTACTAACTTCAGACCGATAGATCCAATAGGCTCAACAATTTTACATCCATCTGGAACAGTCATAACAACTTGTTCGGGTCAAAGAGCTGAAACCAATATCGACGTTCTTGTCGATGATGATGATACATCAGATGAAGATAGCTCTGATGATGAAAGCGCTCCAAATTCGCTGCAATCACCGCCTAGGACGCCTAAAGATACAGGCAGAACGCCAGACAACAGTTTAAAAGTATGGAGTTTATAACTCGAAAGCTTATTTCAATTATGCTATTCTATTGGTGAGTATATCCAGCGATTCTTGCTTGGCTCATACAAAGCCAATTCTCAGCGGCAAGTAAATGTTGCGTAAATCCAGCTAGATATTCGTCAGTCATTTTAACCCTACAATCAACTTCTCCTAAAATGAGCCACTCTCTCAATCTTCGGCCTTCACCAAAGTCTACTCCCATATCTGATCAACAACCATACTGACCCTTTCCAACACGCTCCTTCCCACTAGCCCACCCAATCTCCTAAGCCTCCCTTCCAGCCCCATCACCACGAACAGTGTCAATCCATACGGACCCTCCGCATGAATCATCCGCAACTCCCTCTCATACCCCTCATCACCCAACCTGCATCTCGGTTCCGGCTCTTTCAACTCTGCAATCGTTGCTTGAGCCGCATAAGCATTCATTCCAGCTCTTCTCAGCCATATCTCCCAATATGACTCCTGTTCCAGCAGTTCTAGAACCGGATTCAAGAGGATATCTCCAGAGTGTTGGATAATAAGATAGGAAATATATTTCGCCATGCTTTGATTTCCGCTGTTGGCTTTGTCTACGGGGATGTAATTGACAATAACGCTTGCGGGTAATTTCAATGTAAAACCGACAAAATCAGCCCAGGCAATGCTATCACTATCACTCATGCCCGTTGCAGGGGAAGCGACAAGAATGATTAAATTCTCATACCGTGCACTAACTTTCTCCAATCGATCACGAATTGGAACGGCAGTCTTATGTCCAGGTAGTGGCTTTTGCTTGATATGCTGTAGAGTGGTAAGAATAAGTCCGGTGCTTGGAGAAATGACAATGTCAGCTTCGTGAGTAAGAGTTGAAGTTATAGAAGAGAGAATCACGGAACCCGGATTCCAAGTCGTAGTGTTGTGAGCGGAGAAATCGCGCTCGCAGATCTTGAGAGTTGGAATCAGGGCTTCGAGGGAGCGGAGAAGAGGACGGTCTTTGACGATCGTGGAAGATAGAATTATAGAGATGGGGGCTGCCGGAGCATTTATTATGGGCGTTGGGAGGGGCGAACGAGAGGCCTCAGGCTGCTGAAATTGAGATTCGTTGTCTAGGGTTATTTTATCCGATGGTAAGGGTGCTGGTAAATCAGAAACTGAGAAATGAGAACTTTCAATCAACCTTGGTTTCTTCGCTCCTCGTATCTCCATGAAATTACTCAGTTCATCCTTTGCGGAGAGTAGGGAAGTTTGTTCGTCGACCCCTGATCGTGCTCTCTTGGTTAGTGGTACCATGTTCGCGTCTGCTATTTCTCGACTCATTTCTGGAGTGATTAATGGCTGAAAATGCACCATTGAATCTCTGTAAGCATTGAGGTTGGGTTGACATGCCTTCTTTTGTCGTCGATTAACATCTTGCGTCTCGGGTTCCCTATTTCCAAGTAATGGTGGTGTTTCCACATGTTCTATGGAAAAATATCCTAACTCAAGTTCGTCGTCACCATCATCATCATCAGTGCCTTCCTGAAGAATTCGAAAGCCTTCTCTCTTCCAGGTGAGATTTGAACTTGTGATCACATCATCATTTTCTAAACTGCAGACGGACGCCTCCCAAGTCTTCTCGTTGCCCATAGAATCTTCGACGACGTTCCCCAGGTTATGTTCAAATGGTACCCACGGTACCTTCAAGTGCAACTTCTTTAATCCAGACCATCGCATTGAGGGGCAGAGACTGATGTCCTTGGCGACTTTTGTTAAAGCCAAATTAACAGCATTGACACTACGGAAGTTAGTAATCATCCAGGGAGGTGCAGGTATACTGAAGTCCATCACGGGTACTTCGACACGATTTCTTGTATCTGCGAGTCTCTCTTGTTCAACTCGATGTTGTGCTTGTTCTCCATTGTCGCCGAATGCTTCTTCAAAGAATTTGGTCTCGATTACAGGCTCGGAAAACACAGACTGAGGTCGACTGTTGAGTAGAAATTCATCTACGATGTTATTGAAGTGTACGCTTCTTAGTCCTGATTCTTCAGACAGCTTTGGTGGCGTCAAAATCTCGTCTACTTTTAGATTCTCGATAGCTCTTTTCTTTTCTATAGGAGGGGAAGATAGTTCGAATTTTTTGATACACTCTGGTGGCGAGTATAGATCTGCAGGCTTGACGCATTGCTCATCCGACGCTGAGATTGTTGCTCTGGTCATAAATCGATTGCGTAAAGGTGTTGGCAGGTCTTCTTTGAATACTTCATCCTCAATCTTTCTGAGGTCCAGCGAGGTAGGAGAATCAGGATCTGAAAGTACTGGTATTTCGCAGCCCGAAGAAACAAAAGGAAGAGGGCTACCAGGTACTGCAGCTGGCATCGGAGAAAGCGGAGGCGTAACATGACCCAAGACAGGAAATTTCTAAAATAATTAGTATAGAGTAAATGAGACTTACCTCAAGGAACCATTACTCACTCTTGGGTGTGTTCTCTCGTTTCCCCCAAATCTCTTGTCTATTCTCTATCGTTAATGTTGTTTTCAAGGCCGTTTGAAGATAGACCATCGAGCTTCTTGTCACTTCAATCTTCTCATTGGCTATCGTTTCGAATGCCTCATTTTCGAAATTATAAAAGTCCGATGGAAATCCCAACCCTTCATTGTTCTGAATATTAAGTAACTCTAGCGGTAACTTGATATCTTGAGGCCTCACTTCGAACTTATCTCTTCTTGCAAATCCTCTAACATCTAAATCATGGTCGGTTCGCAGTATGGGCATTTCGATGCCCAGATTTCTGACATCTCTGGGCCCGAGTAATTGCTGTGTCCATGTATCGATTGATACTTGACTCTCACTTTGTGCTATAGATGTGAGAAGTCGTGCGGCACCGATACCTACCGATAATCGTTCATTGGTGTTGATTTCTGGTGTAGTTAGTGAAGACAGATGATCTTCATTCAGATCGCTGGAGGAACTATAATGAACATCTTCCTGCATCAAAAGTAAAATCTCCACCGAGGTATCGTCGAGCTGATGATCTCGAGATATACCGAGCGAGCGAGCAAGCTGAACAACCGGAATCTCTTCTTCCTCACCTTCTTCCGAAACATCCTCTGCGTCTGGTAATTGAGACAAAGTTTGATTTGTCGCATCATGGCTCATAGTATAATCCATCGTGTCCTGATGTTCCATTGTGTAATCCAGTGAATCATCTTGGGAACTGATGTTATTGTCCATACTGCCATCTTGTGTATTCACAGAATTAACCATGGTGCAATCCATCACACATTAATGATCTTAAGGTGTAATGGGCAAGAGAACACAAACCAGCCGAACGAAAATGGTCATCCTTTATCAATCTTCCCTAGGACATTGAAAGTGTGAAAAGAGCGTTGCAGAATTAAGGGGGGATATGTTCAAGATACTCATCAAGTTTTCTTAAGGGTTATAGCAATGGGGTAAGAGAAAGAGAAAGTTTGATAGTGCAATTCAACGAAGGTGAAAGTGAGAACCAAACTGAAGGGCAATGGTTCTGAGCACGTGATGCGAGGCTTCAGTGGAGGGGGACATCTCCATTGCAGGACTCGAATCCTGTCGAGCCATGCGGCGGTACTGAATGAAATCTTTGGACCGCAGTCATGAAAGTAAGTTGAAGATTACTTGCAAGAGCCCCATCCCCCCCAGAGGCTCTCTGACCTGCTAGTGGTCACCCAAAATAATTCACTGCTCCCCACGTGATACTTGAGTATATCCTCCTATCTCAAAACCCTTGATTAAACGAGGCAGCCGGGCTCTCCGAAGTGCGTGATTAACGCATATCAACGCACAATTTTGACTTTTGGATTTTTTTGGATTTTCTGAGACAGCTACCGGGATCATGATCATGCCTTCCCATTAAGGAAGGATCTTAAGAAAACTCTACGAGATAAACCCAAAAGAAGAAACGAGTAATCGCCGTATTCCGATTCGGGGAAAATTGGCTGAAGGGGATAGAGAAAGTGATTTCAAATCCAATCTTAATTATCATGATCATGCGAGCTTGCTGCCGCCACTTTTCCCGACCCCGGAACGCCAAGGTTCAGCGCGATACGCAGTAAAAAGCACAGATAGTCAGGACCAGTATTGAGCAATTTGTAATTATATAAGTATAATCATCGTCAGCTCATTATGATTTATAGTAATAATCAAATTAATTACACCTCTTATTATAGGGTAAAGATTTTACAGAAAAATTACAAGATTTTGAAGATATATAAAACCTAAATAAGAATATAAAACACATAAAAATCACATAAAAATCATATAAAAATCGTATAGTTATTAAATCTTAGCATAATAATTTATAACAATTAAAGATCATTATATTATATAATTATGTAATAATGCCTCAAATTATATAATCCGCTTAGTACTAAGTTACTTTCTAGTTACTCCTCTTTCAGGTTACTCATTTACATTAAAAATCGCTTTTTTAGCTTATTAATAACTTCTTTATTTATAAATAGAATTTATTGGAAATTCATATATATATAATCTAAACCATTTTAAACTTATACCAAAAATTTCAGATTTTTACGATTTTTCTAAATAAAAATATAAAATTTTAAAATATTTATTTTCTAATTTATATAAGAATTACATACAAATTTTACTTTTTTTAAATCTTCAATAACTTTTCAATGAAAATTACTAAAAATAAACTATAAATTTTTATTATTTATAATATAATAGATTTAAAAAATGAAAAAAATTTCAATTAATAAATATTTATAAAAATACTTTCGAAATTACAAGGATTTATTTTCCCTATTTAAGTTATATCTCTATAAGTATTAAATGTTTTTTTTTTAATTTCCTATATAAATTCAAGCTTAAAACCTTTAAAAAAGTTATTAGTTTCTTTTTATCAATTATAATTAAAAAGTTATTAAAGATTTAAAATTGATTTCAAATTTGTATATAATTCCTATATAAATTAAAAAATCGATATTTTAAAGCTTCAGATCTTTATTTAAAAAAATCCTAAACATCTAAAATTTTCAATCTAGACTTAAAATGATTTGAATTATATATATATATATATAAATTTTCAATAAATCATATTGTATTTTGATAGAGATATTAATAAGTTGAAAAAGCACTTTCTGATATAAAAGGGTAGCCTGAAACAGAGGTGGCTAGAAAGTCGGGTACCCGACTTAGTCAGGAGTCAGCACTCATCACTTAATATCATAAAGAAGAAACAAATTGGAGTTTGATTTAATATACAGAGGTGGGCAAACGTTGATGGGATTGTGTCCCTTGTATTAAAATCAAACAATCCCACGAAACTGAAGTGGATCTGCACCGGGGCCCGTTACAGTCTTGGCTCTTTGGATGAAACGTTATTTTCTGTTCTGACCAGTAAGCAGCCCGCAATGACCAACTTCTTCAGTATTGTTGTTTGCTTTATGTTCCTTATCAAAGGAAGTTCATCTTAATCTTCTGATGTTTACATTATGGATTTATACCGAGAAAAATGCAAGCTTAAATATAAGGTTGGCACGGGTGTGTTCGGCAGAATTTATCCCCTAGTCGGTTGTCTCGGCTACTAGACCCAGAGACCCAGAGACCCATTAATCTTGTCAAATCTGGCGCCAAGAACACCGGATATGAAAGGGGAATGCTCATTTATCTCAAGAGGGAGGCCGAGCTCTGTAGGTGAAGATTGCGAAGTGGATGACGTTCAAAATATTCAGGGGCCGTGGACAGGGCTGGAGATATGTATCGGTGATAGACGAGGATGCAGATGCAGTATATAATAAGTTGATCTCATCCTCGTGTATCTTTTCCTCACACATTCTTGATATCAGAAGTTTCTTTAGATTCATTCAAACTTGCCGCTGGGTCGGCTTTTGTCAATCATTCAGTACTCAGTTATCCGTTCCTTAAGCCTTTGAAGGCCTTCTTGCTCTTTCCTCACAAGCAGACTCAACCAAACTCTCCTATTCTCATTTGCAAAAACACTCACCATGTACTCCAAAATTTTGGGCTCAACAGCCCTACTTGGGCTTGCCCAAATCGCCACGGCAGCTACTACAACTGGCGCCTACACCGACACGAACACTGGCATCGAGTTTCAACAATACTCGGACACCACGATCGGATTTAGCTTTGGTATTGCGGTCCCCCAGAACCCAACAGCCGATTTCATCGGTCAATTGGTGGTTCCTCTCACTTCAGGTGCAGGCTGGGGTGCGCTTTCCATGGGCGCCGGCATGACTAATAAACTCCTCTTTGTTGCATGGCCCAACGGCAAAGAGATCCAATCCGGTTTTCGATATGCCACCGGTTACTCCAACCCCGATGTGTACACAAACTCGACAGTTGCAGCTCTGCCAATTGCTAATGGTACATTCATCAACAGCACACACTTGTCATACACTTTCCTGTGCCAATCATGTGTGGTCGGAGGCCTGACAACTTTCGATGCTTCCAGTGAACTTGCCACTCTCGGTTATGCTGTGTCAAGTTCCACTCCCACCACTCCATCTAGCTCGGGAAGTGCTTTGTCATACCATGATGTCGGTTCAAATATCTACAACCTCAACTTGACAGCTGCTAGATCTGCGCAATACTCTACATGGGCTTCATGGGCATCCGCTGCTACTCCATCTGGTGGAAATTCAACTAGCCCGGGAAGTGGTAGTGGCTCAAATAGCACAGTCCCAGCTCCCACTACACTCAACTCTACTTACGATGTCATTGTCGTTGGTGGTGGTGCTTCAGGTATTATTGTTGCTGAGCGTATTGCTGAGAGCGGTGTCAGTGTCCTCCTCCTTGAGCGTGGTCCAGCCAACACAGTTGCCCTCGGCTCCACTCAAGGCCTCTCTTGGAACTCTACTCTTACTCCCTATGATGTGCCGGCTCTTGGCAGTAGTCTTGCGTCCATTTCGGGAACTAAGTTCTGTTCTGATACTGCATCTACTGCTGGCTGTCTTCTTGGAGGTTCGAGCTCCATCAATGGCATCAACTTCATTCATCCCCCTGCTCATGATTTTGAGAATTGGCCAACTGGATGGGATTGGAATTCTGTATCCGACGCAGCTGACCGTCTCTACTCTCGTAACCCTGGTACTACCCAGCCTTCCGCGGATGGAAAATACTACGATGATTCGGCATACACCACCTGGTCAGCATATCTTGGACAACAAGGTTGGAGTGAGGTCGACTCTATTGAGAGCCCCAACAAGAAACAGGCAGTCTTCTCTCGTCCTGCCTGGAGTATCTCCAATCACCTCCGAGCTGGTCCCGCTAGAACTTACATGCCGTTCGCCGAGCAGCTTGATAATTTTGAATTGAAGCTCGAATCTAGCGTCATCCAGGTTTTACGAAATGGAAGCACAATCACTGGTGTTTTGACTCAGGCTACAGATGGTTCCCGTCAAATCATCAATCTCAATGCCAACGGTAAAGTTGTCCTCGCCTCAGGCGCTCTCTCGACTCCCCGCATTCTCTGGAACTCTGGCATTGGTCGATCTGACGCGCTCAACATTGTTAAAACCGGCACGTCTGGTGTTACCCTGCCAGACTCGTCCGATTGGATCGACCTTCCTGTCGGTCACAATTTGAAGGACCATGCTCAGGTGCCTTTGCAATTCACTACTTCACCTGCCTTCAAAGCTTTTGATTTCAATGGACTCGCTACATCGCCAGTTGCCACCGACATGGACTTGTACAAGCAAGGCTCTGGAACTATCGCACAGGCAGCTCAACGAATGCACTTGTGGACCTCAATCAATGGTACTGACGGTGTAGCTCGCTACCTCCAAGGCACTGTTAGTGCGATGGTCGATGACACTATCACTATCAAAGCCTTCCTCACTCATGGTACTACCAGTACTGGTGAGCTTGGAATCTCGGCATCTGGTAGTACTGTCCTTAACACCAAGCCATGGTTGCAAACGACTGAAGATATGGCCGTCTATTCAGAATTTATTCAGTTCTTCTTGAACATGGTGTCTAGCAATTCCTCAAATGTCGCAGGAAACAGCAGCTACTCTCTCAGCTACAAGACTTCAGGAGCAACCCCCGCAAGCATCATTTCGTCTTCTCTTGTCAGTGGTGATCACTGGGTTGGAACTGCTAAAATGGGCACCGATGACGGACGCACCAACGGTACCGCCGTTGTCGACTTGAATACCAAGGTATACGGTACTGACAACCTTTTCGTCGTTGACGCCTCTATCCACCCCGATCTACCAACTGGTAATACCCAGGCTATTATCATG